AAGGAGATCTCGTCAAAGCGGATGTGCACAGGTGGCTTGTGCACATAGATGAAGCCCCGCTCCAGCGGGTAGAGAAGCCCCGAGCTGGCCTTGTAGGAGCAGGTGATGCACTGGGCTCCAGAGTGTCTGCAAGGGCAAATGCAGCCATCTTACGCCCGCGGGGAGCAAACGATCTCCCTGTGCCCATCCCCACAATGAGACAGAGGACCCCAGCAGCCCAGACAAGCCCGTCAGCTGCTCCCCTGGCACGAGGCACGAATCTCGCAGAGCCCCTTCCCCCTGTCAACAGGAACAAATGAGAAAGAGAGGGGCCGGTCCTGCTGCCAGAGTCACGGAGGATCTCAAGCCGCTGGCCTCAGACTACCAAACCAACAGCTTCTCCTGCCCTAGGGAGAAGAAGGCACGCTTTGCATCCCTCCCCATCTCCGCATCTTTTCCAGCAGCAGGAAGATCCCATGTTTCACCACCCACACCCCCCTCAGCCGGCAGCAGCATGCCTCACCCCTGGAAGTTGCCAGGCACGGTGATCTTGCGATTCACCAGTGCCTTCATAACCCGGCTGACCATCTCGTAGAGGGAGCCCGACATGTTCTTGGTGAGCCGCCCCTCGAAGCGTTTCTCCACCTCCTCCCTGCGCAGCCAAAAGAGAGGGCAACAGTGAGAATGGGAAGTCAGGAGGTTCGTTACCTCCCTCCCAGCTCCCTGCAGCCCACAGATCCAGGGAGGGGGTCAAGGAAGTGGACTGGCAGGAGCGGAACTCACTCATTCATGTTGAGGGTCAGGGAGATGTCCTCATCCTTGGAGAAGAGCAGGATAAGGAAGTGGTAGCGGGTCTGGCCTTGCTTTATCGGGGGATCCAGGCTGATCTGAAAAGAGAAGAGGAGGTGAGGACCTGCAATCCCCCAAACCCATCGCTTCTCACCGTTCCCTGGGGGAGGGAAGACCCTTCGTCCCCTCCTCACCACAAAAAACATCTGCCGCTGGTCCTTGTGTGGGAGCAGGAAGAGGCGCAACACAGTCGTGTAGGGGATTTTGTAGTCGAAGGTCTTGCCATGGAGATGCAGGAAGGTGGGGTAGATGCGGATGTCGTATCGCCCGCGAGGCGTCAGACACTGCAGTTCCCGGAAGATGCAGATGGCATCTCCGGTGGCCTGGATCACGTCCGCCTTGGAGAGGACGTTCTGAGCGAAGGCCTGCAAGGGAAGGGAGATATGGCCAGGTGAGGGTACCCAGCTACCACCTCTGCCTGACCCGCCATCCCCGCGGCCCCCCACTCACCTCCACGGGATCCACACCGTCCTCCTGGGTCGGCGGCACATAGAAGCGAACCTCCATGAGCGAGACCTCAGCATCGTCATTCTGGTGGAACTCCAGCGTCACCTCATTCTTGCCCGTCGTGCACTGGGAGACGTTGCTGAGGGGGATCTCAAACACTGGCTGCTCCCCGATGTCAAAGGAGAGCAGCTGCCCTGCAGGGGCAGGAGGGGAGACTCAGCCTGTCACTGCAGGATCAGAACTACCGCACCACGAGGTGGGGATAAGGTCCACCCTGCGGGGCAGGCCCAAAGCATCCTCCTAGATCCCATCTCCAGCAGCAGCCTTGGTCTTCTCCCAAAGTCCAGCAATGCCTCTCTTCTCCCCCCCTGCATTCCCATGCTCCCTCCCAAATCTCTAGGCTTTCTCCTTCTGGCTATGGCCCCGGAGATCGACACTGATCAGAAATGAACAGGAGGGAACTGTCTGTTCCCATGTTCCTCTGCTCTCAGACCAGGGAGGAGCATCCACCAGCTCCCCTGGCTCCGGCAGGCTCTGCCAGACGCTCCCAGCTCCCAGCCCGACCTTTCTTTTACGTTGAGCATTCCCTGCCTGCAAAATCTTCACCCTGGATTTGGGGCCCGCAGGTATCTCCTGCTTTCCTGGGATGGCTAACATTCTCACTGTCCCCGAGGACACCACTAGAAAGCAGGCCGCTGCTCAGGGGACCGGCTGGGTGCTGCAGGAACAGCCATGGTGATGGGAAACTCTCCCAGCCACCAGACCAGCCCCACCACCTTGGGCTGCAGCCAGCACAGAGGTTCCCTTCCCCCAGTAACAGCATCACCATGACTCACCTCCGAACCTCACCGTCCCCCAGTTCCAACCCTTCACACACAGATCCTTCTCCGCCAGCTCCAGGCGATAGTGGGCCTTGAAGAAATCTGAGAGCTTATCAAACTCCTGGGCCGGGGCGAGAAGGAAGGAACGTCTGTTAGAAACCGCCACATACGGGCAGCTGCTGCCCAGAGCCCATAACTGGGACGCAGCCCCACCCCGGCACAAAGGAAGCAGCAAGAAAAATAGGGGTCAGAGCTGTTCTTGGGGGGTCAGCACTGCGAGACTCGCAGGGAGCACAGCTCAACACAGGACAAGCGCAAGCCAGCAAGAGAAGAGACACCAGCCAGGGACAAGGACGGGCCAGGCATGCAGGGGCCGGGGGACTCACTGATTCCCGGAAACCATCGTATTTGTAGACGTGGCCGTTCTTGGTGAGCAGCTTGAGGCCGTGACCGAGCGCCACACGTCGCCACACACCCTCGGCCAGCTCCGAGGCCTGGATGTTGTCCACTTTCCCCGTTTTGCTGTTCTTGAAGATCACACCTTGGCGGCTCAGCCGCAGCCGCCCGTCGTTCTGGTGGGAGAGGCAGGTGTGAGGTGGGGGTGGCTCACCCCACATGCAGGGGAACAGCCCAATGACACCACCAGCCCCAGAGCAGGGAACTGCCGCCTTTCGGGCACAACTAGCAGCTGCATGACCCTTCCAGGCAAAACAAGGTGGCTTCCCCAACCGCCCACCAGTTTCAGTCGTCACACGCTCCATACTATCTCAACTGGGGATTCAAGAGGCCACAAGACAGTCACGAGCACCCCTGGTGCCGCTACAGTGCTGTAGCTCCATCAGGCTTTTAGGGACAATGTTGCAAAAGCCAGAGGGTTAAGGGTGACCCAGAAACGCTCAACACCCCCCCAGGCCATCCCTGCCCGCTCCCCTGCGCTGGAACAGGCTGACAGCCAACAGGCAACCCTCTCGCAGCAGCCACAGTGGATGCACAGAGCTGGCATCCCTTCTCCCTCCTCCTGGAAGCGTTCCCAACCGCAACCTCGCTCGCTCCGCAACGGGCTGGCACTAAAAGCCCCCACTGATGCTCCAAAACACTTCAGCCCCGGAAACGAGGTGCCTCCGCGCCCCGCTTCCAGGCGAGATCAGCAAAACACCCTCTGCCAGGACAAGGCAGCAGAAGAGACGCCGGGGTGGGGGAAGCACCCTGCAGCGTTTTGGCTGGGAGAGCAGGTCTCAACGCGATGTGTCACCTGCCAGGGCCCAAGTGGGGCTCCCCGGGGACCGTCCCCCTCCCCCCCCGACTTGCTCACCATGGATCCCTTCACCTCCTGGTATATCTCGTTGAACTCCAGTGTGTCGGCCATGGCAGCTGGGGGAGGCACCAGGGCTTTGGGAGGGGAGGGAGGCTGAGCGCAGCGAGTGGTTCAGTTCCCCCCCCAGCCCGGCATGCCCCGGGTCAGCGGCAGGTGGGGATGGGGACAGGGACAGAGCAGCTGCGGGG